GCCCTAAGCACAACCAGACTCTGTTCTGAGCAGAGCAGGAGCAGCCCTGGAGGCCTCGCCCTGCTCGGGGATTTTACCTCAGCAAAAGCCTCCCTGGCTGCTCCATTACTCCCTCGGAGCCCTGCCCAGGGCAGGATTTGGGGTTTTGTTGTGCTTCCCAACTGCGGGTTCATAAACTTTTGAGTGTGCCTTTGAACACTGTAGAGTTCCAGGAATTTTTTTCACCTGTCACCTGCATGGCAATGACTGCTGCTAAAAGAAAGAACTTTCCTGTTCAGAATTGTCACCTCCCATGTAAACACTCTGAAGGTAACAGCAGATTTCTTCACAAGAGGCTGTCCTGAAAAACTGAATTGCTCCAGGCTATCTGATATAGAGGAGTCTCATTTTCAAGGATTTGGGAAGACTTTTCCCACTTTTCTTCACTGGCTGCCTTCTGGGGGAGCAAGGTCAAGAATATCTCTGCCTGTGTTCCCCCGACAGCATGTTCTTTACTCTGGTAAACCTGGGAAACACAGGTTAAAATAGCACGTATCAAGTGGTTTTTAATGCAGATTGTTGGCTATGAGGGTGTGGGATGGTTCCCATTCCCTGGGACTGCTATTTTCCTAACTGGCTCAAGTGCCTACTTGAGTTAAGGGCATTTACTTTTCAGCAGTTTATAATTAGTTCTAGCAAGTGAAAACTTAGATTAGAAATGACCCAGAAGTCTCTAGAGTTGAAGCAGGTAAAACTGAAATGGGAAGATGACAGCCTAACTGACCAAAGCCTTCAACAAAACACTGCATCACATCATAGGAGATAGTTCAGAAAAAAAGACTTCTGACTCAAATTCTCTTAAAGGAAGTTTTGTTATCAACCAGAGTGACTTTTCCTTGAGAAGATTATCTCAAATAACTGCTAGTTCTCTCCAAAAGCACAATGGAGCTGAAGTAAACTAGCATTTTGTTATTGAGAAGCTCTTTCTTATCTTTTGTTTTTAGAAGGTGGGTACAACCAAACAGTCTCTTGTTCTAGGGGAAAACTACATTCTTCCTCTCCCAGAACAGAACAGAAAACAGCTCTCCCAGGGTCTAGCTAAAGACTTAAAGGTCACTGACTGGATTCCTTAAATTTAGATTCTTGAAGTTTGCTATGTCATTTTTTGTCTTAAATATTAATATTATGGCAAACACATTTGAATTAAATACAAGGAATGTTTGATGTGAAATACATTGCCTCTTTTTCTCCATCTCCAAAAGAGGAAACTGTAATATCTTATAAATTTGATGCAAAATGGGAAGAAATATATTCTTAAAGAAAACAAGTATGACTTTATGGAAATATCATAATCAAAATTGGAAAAGATTTTCAAAGAGAACAGAAGACATCCAGAAACTCGTTCTAGGAGTCCTAGCATGAAGCCAAATTCTAAATTAATTTTCTTTATCAGATTGTTTTATCTAGATACGTATTACCTGACAAATATTAAATATTCAGTTATTTTACTTTGTTTAGTACCAAGTGGCACCATCCAATTGAAGATATTTTTGCTCCACACTTCAGGAAAAAGCAAAAAAGACTCATTGTCACCATTTCTCTTCAACAACTGTATCTCTTACATCTTCTTAGTGGCAATGAAGGGTCTAACAGACCCTTGGTAGATGTCTCCATGGTTGCTCAAGCACATTGCATACACAGTGCTTGTCCCTCCTTCAGATCACATTTGTGCTGCCTTGGCAGGGCTCTCAGTGCTCTCACAGCTCTCCTTTGGCTGGCCCGTGCTCTGCCAAAAACTCCTGCTTGCTCCAGGAGCTGGGTGAGGATCTGGGAATGTAAGCACTGAGCCCTCACAGCACAAACTGAGCCCTGCACCTTCCTGAAACTTGAATTTGACTTTTTCCTGCTTCCTGATACTTCCTGATAGCATAATGGTAGTCTCATGACCAGTATTGTTGAAGTACTCAGAGGCAGAGGTCATCTTGCATAAGCTGCTTGGTAAGAACCAGAATTTTGCACAAGAATTCAGAAAAAAACAGTAGCTCTCACAGTAAGAGCTTTAGACATTTTTCCTCTCATGGCTGTTTCATGTTGCAGTGGCAATGGAGAAGGAAATGAAAATGGGATATGATACATGAAGATGGACCTTTGTTGACATACTTACTTCAGCTCAAGTCACTTCTGCAGAGTATAAAACTTCCCATTTAGAATTTCTTGTATCTATTTTACTCCCTTGCCCAAAAGATTTTAACATGTTTTATAATCCAGTTCATGAACTACTCAGACATAAAAATGCATGCAAGAGAAATAAGCACTCTCACATTTAGCTGTGTCAAGGATAGGTTTTAACCATGCATGCATCTATAAAAAGATGCTTTTGTTGTTTGATAATGTGAGTTTTACACATACCTTGTGTTATCTTTGCATGTACCTGAGGAACAAAGCTATAAAGGTGTTTGATGTGTTACCCTCTAACAAGAGACAGAGCAGGAGTAATAATATTTAACAGACAAAAATGGGGAAAATAGGGTCTCTCTGTTTAATGTTTAAAAAAAATTATAGCGCTTAATTAAGATATTATGCATATCAAAGAAATATATTGTCAATTGATGAATTAATGAATAATAGCACAGACATTAGTCCACTGTTACACACAGAATGTTTCATTTGCAGTTTAGAGTGCCTTTTTTTTCCTTTTTTTTTTTTTTTTTTTTTTTTTTTGAGGAAATGTGTTGGGGGTGTGGGTTTTTGTAATGCAGAAGTTAAGTATTGATTACTATGCAGTGAGATTACCTGGACTGTACTGGGTTTAGACAACTGCCCAAAGAGATTTTGTCTAAACTTCAGAGGAAGAGAAAGAGAATATTCTTAGATGGATGAAATTGTCCTTGTACTATGCAGCAAATAATTTTTAAAGGAGTTCATTAAAAAGTTATACTATTTTTTTTAATATTGTGACTTAAGAAGTCTTTTAGACCCAACAGTGAAGTTGCTGTGCATAATCCTACTCATTATATGCATTGGTGCACAGTAGCTTCTTAAAATCCAAAAGCTCTCTCCTTGGTTTAAGAAAGAGTGGATATTTGTACTGCTGTATCACCAGTCAGATCTGCTCAGTTAGCATTACGGTAAATTCGACTTTCAGCTGCCAGTAGCTTGGCAATTAGAGTTTCCTGCTTTATTGTTAAACACTGCAATTGAACTCTGCTGCTTTTCATTTGTGATCCAGCTTGGGATGTCAGCTGACACCGAAATGAATGTCCTAACCTCCAATTCAGTGGCTTAAAGGCTATCTCCCCAACATTCACTGCCAAGATGAAATCCAGAAATTATTATTCACCAGCAGTAAACAGGGCCTGTTT